TTGCCCCGTCCCCTCGCCGGCCTGGGCAGAGCTCTCTGTCCCACTGGGTGTGCGCGGGCAGTGCGTGGCCTTGCTGGATGCCGGGCTGCACCTTGCAGTCACATCGGGCTCTGAAGGTGCACCAGGCATCAGACAAGGGGCCAGAGTGTTGATGCAAACCCCAGCACGCCCACCCGCTTGGAGCTGGTGAGCGGGACAGACTGGCCGGGCGAGGGGACAGGGCCGCAGGGCAGGCGAAGGCAAAGCGGGAGGTGATGCTGGGGGGATTGGCCGGGGGATGCCCGTGCTTGGGTGACCATTTTCCACCTGGCTCAGCAGCGTCACATCATCCCCTGCTCCCCGCCAGCCACCTCCCCACAGCAGCACCTTGTGAAAAACAGAGGTAAAGCGTGACCCAGGAGAACGCTGCCTGCCCGCTCCCCACCGCAGTTTGGGCACAGCACAGCTGCGGCGCTAGGTGCCGGCCCCGCCGCTGCCGGGTCTCTTCTCGGTGAAGAAGCTCTTGAGCAGCATCACTTGCCCAATGCTGACCACAAAGAGGATGAGGGTTTCCCCGACCGACCAGTACGAGACCCGGCCGTTGAGGTCTTCAGCTCTGCTCCGGTCCTGCGCTTCCCGCAGGCGGTAGTGAGTCTGGGAGTCGATCACCGTGTTCAGAGCCTCGTGGATGGTGACGCAGGCGGACTCCATCTGGGGAGACAAGCGTGCTCCATTGCTCCTGACACAGCACAGCTCGGGCCCGGTGCTCGCAGCCGAGGAAGCTGAGGACTGTGCTGAGGCACCCGAGAACAGGACAGCAGCGCCCTGTGCTGCTGGGTCTCTGCCAGCCCTGACCCGAGAGCAGTTCTGCTCAAAGGGGCAACGCTGGAGACTGGCTGGGGGGGGGCTGCTGTGAGCACTGGGGCACAACCAAGAGACTTGCCGAGGCGCTGGGGGCCAAGGGCAGGGTCTGGGTCCCAGCCCAGGGCGCAGCCATCCCTGTGGGCTCACGCCAAGGGGTGGAAAAGCTTTGCTGCACTGGGTGCTCAGGCCGGGGGAGGTTCAGACCCAGAGCAGCCCTCCCCGTCCCTCTCTGCCCGCGCCGCTGGGAGGAGGACGTGGCCTGCACGCGGCGGGGTGGTTGGCTGGCAGTTGGCAC